GAGCGCTGTCTAGGACTGGAAGAGAAGCCCCTCATCTTGTTCAAGCAGCTGGACAAAGAGGGCAAGAAGCCCATGTTTATGTTACGGAAGACGAATAACGCCCAAGTCGATGTATCATCAGAACAACCAGGGAGTGCCGGGCTTTCGGCAAGGGGAGCGGCATCTGGCTACGATCCGCCAGGTGGTATCATCTAGGGGGCGATACCACTGCTGATCACCATCGACGCGTACCCTTATCCTTCAATGATTTAACTTATTTCCCATCCGAATTATCTTGAGTGGAAAAGCAGCCGTATGTGGGATGCGGGGCTGCAAGCTCAAATGGACCAGAGCATACCGGAGTTGGGGTTTACCTGCATAGCGCTGCGCAAGGGGAAGACACGACTGCTTTGGAATACCTGTCGCGGAAACATTGTGTGGGTTCGACTGGGCGGGGTCTCTCCACGGTGTTTCGTCTCGCAACTGTTCCTGGGCTGTCCGAACTCGAAACGTGGATCCGAGCAATATTGTTTTTTTTATGTAGGAGCTCCCAAGACCATGGACGAACGAGACACTGTACCGGGAACCGTCTTACCGGAGCTATCCTTTTTTCGAAGCTGTTGAAATATTTTTGTCCATTTGGTAGGAGGAAGAGGAGGAGGGGCAGGAGGAAGGGGACCTAGGGTATGGATGGGGCTTACGCTGGGTGTAAGCGGGGATAGATGTACGGTGTCAACACTGGCTTGGGAGGTGGTCTGATGAGCTGTAGAGCGAACGTGTAACTAACAGCACTACTTGACGGGATTGGATACAAGAGGAGGATGGCAGCTGCTACGTGTGACAAGAGACATGTTGCGAAAGCTATCAAAGGGAGCTCTTTATTTCTGATTCTTGGCATTATTTTATTCACCATTCATTGGAATTGCGCGCCATCCAGACCTAGTGTGAACAGCATATGCGTTTTACTGCAGTGAAAAGAGGGGAAGCCAGAATGAGCCCCCTGGATGGTCGATGGGTGAGGATAGTAATCCGATACACGCGGCGGCTCCGCCCAGGTGCTGTGCCCACGGGAGGAAGTAGGGACGATCTCTCCAGAAGAGATGCGCCGGTTCTTACGCGTTTGCATGCTGCCAAGGAGGTCGATCGCGTCAAGGTTTCTTCCTTCTAGAAGCACGGGGGATCCGCCCCGTTCGAGATTGGGGAGGGGGATGGGATGACGAACGGTGAGATGTGCGTGAGTGTGTCAATCGGTGCCGGAGATTGTGCAACTCTGGTTCGGGGGAGTAGAGTAGCGTAGCGTAGCTGAGGAGGAGGCTGTGCTGGGGGGGGAGTCGGGACGTCGTGTGTGAGTGGGTTTAGGGGGGGTTTGTGATACGAATGACATGTGCCTTTCTTGATGTATGTACGTTTGACACGTTTTTTTTTTTGTCCTGGGTGAGATGCGCAAAGCAGGGGGTTTGGGGTGTTGAAGTTCGGATTGTTCTGATGTTGGGGGTTTGGCACGACCGCAACGTCGTGCCTGTCACGTCTAGTCCTGGGCGCCACACGCACCGTACGAGAAGATCGTCGTCGTTGTTGAGGCGGCGGCGGCGGCGGCGATGACGGCCTACCGGGAGGGTGGTATTCGGGTGCGGCGGGGAGGTGCGGGTTTAGGCTTGTCTCAGTCTGGTGGGCTCTCTCTTTCTCACTCTCCCGTCTCTCGCTAGGTAGCCTCTCGTCTCTGTCACCTGCATCGTGCAGTAGCCATGGCTAGATTTCCTGTTTTGGAGGATGGATGGGGTGTTTGAGAGCCCCGGGGTTGAATGATTTGGGGGCTGAAGGGCAGGTGGGAATTTTTTTGCAGTGTGGATATCGCGGGAAGGCTGTGTGGCATGTTGAATGTGGTGAGCAGGTTTGGATCGTGGCCCGGCCGGGGGGGGGGGGGGGGGGGGGGGGGTGGTGATTCGCGCCGGAGACGGCGCGGAGGGCCGAGTGGTAAGGGGGCCTGCCTACCTCCGGGACGGCACAGGGCGCGTGGGGCATCTGGGTTTGGGATACAGCAGCTTTCCCGGCGGCCTTTCACACAATACGAGGTTTCCTGGGACGGGCTGGATGTGGTTTAGTCTGGTTCGCAGAATCTGGAAAAGGGTTTGGGATGTCTCATTTTGGGACGTGTATTTGGGTTTTGGATTTGGATTCGGACCGGGGCGGGGAGAGAGACAGAGACAGGTTTGTGGATCTTGTCCCAAGCAGTGATGGCATATGCAGCAGATGGATGTCTTGAATGTCTGTCTGTCTTGCCCTGACTGCTTCAGCCCAGAAACCGGCGCCGCGCCGGAGGTGGCGGGCGGGTGGTTGATGGCAAATTACAGGCCCGGCGCTGAACCTGCGCGTGTGTGCCGTGTTGGTGTTCGCCCGCAGCGCAGGGCCAAGACGTCGCAGATGCGCGGGATGGGATGAGGTAACCGGTTTTTCTTTCTCCGTCTTTAGTTGCTGTCAGTGATGGTGAGACTCGATATTCTGGAGGTTACACACGCACACAAAGGTAATAGACGAGGTGAGAACCACCACCACGACCATCACCCCCACATGTTCGATTCATTCACCTCTTTCCCATCTCTCGCCCAAGAGTCCGTTTTGCAGTGCAGTCCGTGTGCAGCAAGGGCAGCACATAGCTCTTGCGTGCTGCTTCTCCACGTCCCGTGGGGCCATGCAAGTCAGTTCTGTCGATAGCGATACCAGGCCATGAATTTAAGCTTTCAGCTGGGTCTGACCCTTTGCTGTCTGATGTATATTGGTTGATATACAAGGCGTTGGCTCGTAGGAGAATTAATCGCGTTGATCTCTGCTGTATCTATCCTATTCCAGAGTCACAGAAGGATGAAAAGAAACTGGACTGCAACCATAAGAGTCAAGGCTGTGATTTACTTTCTCGTGTCTTGAAACTCGTCGTCTGAATCGTGTCAGTCGTGCAGGTACAATCAACACATACCTTAAGTGAGGGGACGGATTGATGTTGACGGGTGGATTCGATCTACTTACTCCGGCTTTACCATAGTCGACGTACAAACGGGCCGCATTGAAGCATCAATCTCAGACTCAAAAGTCGAAATTGCTCGGTCTATCTATCATTGGTGGAAGCTTCAGCTCCAGCCTCAGCTTCTCAGCTTCAATCATCAAGACGAGGACCAAAATCAAGGGTCCCTCTCTTTTGGGGGCCAGTTTCTGGAAGTGTTCCATGCAAATCATCCATCCCCCATCCCCCCAAATAAAACCACCCAACAACCCAAAAACAGCACCACAGCAACCCGGTCAAATTAACATAAGCACGGCTTTCACTGTGAAATGACATAGTGTATTAAAGTGTACTTTTTAGAAACTCTGCTAGCACGCAGGCTACCCTTATAACCCCCCCCCCCTTTTCCCTTCTCCCTTCACTTCTCGCTCCCTAGTTAGCTTTAATAGTTAGGGAGGATTACAGCGATCGCTACGATTACTTTATTCTTATATTCTTCGTATTTATCTAGCTCGTTAAGCTTATTCTAAACCTCTTTTATCTTCTTATTACGTCTAAGCTTCTTATAAAGTTTTTTTTAGTCCTTTTTATAAATATTAATACTTTTAATATTACTAAATTTAGAGAAGAAGTATATAGTAATTTAATAGATAAATATTTAGTAGTAGTATTTATCCTTAGACTTATCTAAGGATCTAATATTAAAGCTTATATTATTAATAGTAATTTAGAAGTATTATTTATACTTTCTTATAAGAGTAATAAAGTTAACTTTCTATTTTATTTTTTAGTTTATTAATTTAGTAATAAGTATTCTAATAAGTTTAATTATAATAAGTTAATTTTATTAGGGATAGTTAATAAGTAAAAGAAGAATAAACTTATATTCTTCCTCCTATATAATTTTATATAGTAAGTTATCTATAAGTTATTAAAGTTATTAATAATATTTTTATAAACCTAAATTAAAACTTTCTTAGTTATTATAAATAGTATTATAATATATAGTAGGTATTTATTAAAGTATAAACAGAATTTTCATAGTGTAGCGTAAACCTCTACAAATTAGATATAGCTAGGCTTAAAGGGTAGAAGATAACATAAGCACGGCTTTTATCTGTATTAAGGTTTGATATAGGCTGATCGGACTTCAGCCCATTACTTGACTCGCAGTTAGATCCTCCCCTCCCGTCCTCTCCCACATACCTCTGCTCGGATCCGAATGAAGACCCGCTCCAGATTGTTCGAATTTGAGTTGCCTATCCGGGCGTCGTCTCTTTCTATCTGCAATCTTCCGCCCCGCTTGAGTTCTCGAGTCAACCAACCCACACGCCTCCACGACTTAGGTCTCCCTGCCCCGGTCCACACCCACAGCCATCATATTCCACTTTGCTTCTCGTTTCCATCACACAGGTAAAGCCCGAGTGGCTCAGTGGTAAAGCGTCTCACTAGTATCCGGTTCTCCGGTCCGAAATGAGAAGATCGTCAGTTCGATTCTGGCCTTGGGCACTGTGTATACTTTTTGATGTTTCTGATGATGCGAGATTCACTTTTTGTCGTTTTCTCGTCCTCACAGGCGTGCGTGTACACACAGGGTGCTGAAGAGTCAAATCATATAATCTGGAAAGGCGACGCTTAAAAGTGACACCGTATGCTCTGTACGCTCAGGACTTGCGATGTTCGTGGAGTAGAGAGTGATTGCTATCATGAATGCCTATGGGGACTCTTGTTCAGAACTATGTTCTCCAACCCTGGTCTTCGCCAGTATACCGACAATGGGTAAAAATTCTTCTTCTTCCATGCTTCAACGTTTCCAACAACCATTCCAATCCGTATCCGTACACGACCACGCAATGGGTTGATCCAACAATTCAACTCCAGTCACTTCATAATTTCAGTTCCTCTCGTTTCCAACATGTCTTTGCCGCAACTTGTCAGTGCTAAGTAAAATGTCAGCTGTGGCGTATGCGACACGTTCATTGCGACTGCTTTCATACTTACCAGCTGCCGGAGCATTTGAATCAACTCACTTCTCTGCCGGAGAAGACACAATGGGGAGTTTCTTCTCTTTCTTAGCTTCACGCTGGTTCTGCAGTTGGGCGATGCCGCTTCTTCGTTTCTTTTCCATCGGGCCCATGGGTCGATGTTGAGTCTTAACATGATCGGAAGCGTTGTGAGTGTAGCCTCTGGGGCTTTCGTCATCCTCTCCGTTGCTATCCTGGTCGCTTGCGGCAACTGCCTCGTTGCCATCCAATCTGTCGGCAATGTTGACAATATGCTGAACCATGGTTGACTGCGCGTTTTGACCCGCCACTGTATCTCTGCCTTTGGCCCGCTGATTCTGATTTTCGCTTCGGGACTTCTGTTCGGTTCTCTTCACCGATCGCTTTCTCTCGGGTCCCTTGTTGTATGATAGGGGGCTCAACACTCTCTCGGCAATTCGTTTGGGGGCGCGACGCCAACCATCAGGTGACCTGAACCCCTCGACAATCTTCGTCTCAGACACTGGCTGTAGGTTTCCAGTGAATACGCGGGCTCTACCCTTCCTCATGGGAGTGTGAGGATCTTCTAATTGCCGAAAGGTAGATCGACGGTGGGCTGATCCCTCGTCGTCGGACAACGTTTGAGATACGACGACCGGTGACGCTCGGTTCTGAATGTCGATGCTCTGATGGAGGCCAGGTGTCGACGGGCAAAAGTCAGCGCAGGATTCTATATCATCTCGTTAGCCAAAGCTTGGGCGCAAGTCTGAGGCCGCTCTTACCATCAAACTGCGAATCACCATGATCGAGCTCATTGACGGTGGGTGGATTGGGCAGCGTGTTGCTTCGACGTCTGCTACCAGCCGCTCTCGTTGGAGTCGACTGACTGTTGGTGAGCGGAGAATTATCATGCGGGAATCCTGCGTAGCTTCCTCTATCTGGGACCCTAGCCACTGGAAAGTCAGGCTCGTAGAGAGGGCCTGGCAGGGTGTTTATGGGTATTAAGCCCAGAGTGTTGGGGTCCACGCTACGCTGATTCAACACCTGAGGCTTGTTGCCACGTCGTCTTCGAAAAGACGGAACAAATCTGGTACGAGGCGATAAACGTACACTAGTCGTAGAGGGAACCGAGGAGCTCGGGGGCTCTCTGGCTGCGCGATGCGCCTCGCGCCTCAAAGGGGCTTCCGTAGCAGGACCGGCATTTGAAGTTGTTGAACTGCGCAGGTCAACCCTGCGAGAAGTGCCCCCTTGCTGTGGGTTTGGAGCCTGTGCTCTCGTCGATGAGGTTTCCCTGGGCAAAGCATTCTAGGCGTTTGAAGTGGGTTGGTCTTGACGTGCATCCTGGGCTCTCTGTTCCGAAGCGGTCCTCTGCACTGTGACGACTCGGATTTGAGGCTTGGCTGCTCTTATAGCCATTCTTGTTGTCACGCTGAGTCCCATTGAGCTTCCAGGGTTTCCTGAACGCGATTGACTCGTCTGAGTGGTAGCGTGTGTGGACGGAGCGGGACGCGTGCTCGGTCGACTCGCCTGGTCGATGCCTCTCGTGTCTCCGCCAGTTCGAATGCGGGTAGAGGAAGCAGATGCGTTTAAATCTACCGAAGGTCGAAGACTGAACGTATTGTTCTTCTTGGCAGTTGACTTTGGAGCTGACTTTGCTCGACGGTTGCTGCGGCTCACTGTTCCAGCTGCTGCCATATTTTTGCTGTTAGACGTTGTTCCTTTCGAAGCCGTCCCTTTCGATATGACATCGAGTTGAAGTCTGACACGGTCATCTTCATCTTCGGACTCGTCATCTTCGACAGCAAAGCCCGATACTCCTCGCGTCGAGCATCTCTTGACGGATTTATCTTCATCGTCGGGGAATAGAAGATCGCGGAGATCTTTCCGAGGCAATACGCTGTCTTCAACGAGGTGACTCCGGGGTCCTCTCCGCATTGGGTGTTTGTCGTCAGAATCGCGGTGGGGAGATGATGGGATTCTGAAAGGGGATGAATCTGGGAAGCGTCCATGACGAACCGGCGGGTTGTTAACCAGAGGATGCGAGCCATGTTGTTCAACAAAGAGGCTTTGCTCTCCAAATTCGACTTTAGACTTGTTTGCCTTAGAAGAGGGTCTGCCAATATCTTGAGATGATGATCCCGCGACTGCACTGCTGGAGGGTGTATCACGTATCATTTGGCTGCGCGGCACCTTAGAAAGAGACAGTCCATCAACTTGTGACGAAAGCTCCGGCTGAGAACTCTTGGAAGGAGTGCCAACAGTCGGGAAGTTAGCCGATGACGAGGTGGTTCGGGTTTTATGGCCTGCATCAGAGGCGACCTGCCGGCCACCACCACCACCTGTGCTGGCCGAGCGAGAATGCTGAGCAGCGACATGGGTGTAAGAACCGCCCTGGTGACCCATGATCTCAAAGTATGCAGAAGTGTAAGTGTGTTTATCACCAGAGGAGGAAGGCCGCAGGGGCGGAAGGATGTGATCACCAGAACCGTCCCGGTGCCGTGAAGCCTCTCGAGCACCGCCAATCCGCCGAGGGTGCAGAAGTCGAGCCGGCTCAGGGCCGCGCCGGAGGTAACCGTCCGCCATAGGGACTGTCCGATCAAGAACCGTGCGGCTCGATTGTCAGTAGTTCGGCTGTTAGTTGTCTTGAGACGGCTTCGTGCTGGAGGAAGGCGCCAAAGCTGCGGCCGAAAGTGCCGATGTCGACGAAGAGACGAGTGGTAAGAAAGCAAGACCAAAAATCCCACACACGGCACAAAACAAGAATACCGGATGTTCAAGGTAGAGATGACGAGGGCAAAGATTTGTTCCTGGGTGTGATCGGGGCTGGTGATGTTTGGGGTGGATGAAGGGTGGTGAACAATCGACGATGAGGTGGTGAGGTGGAAGGAATCAAAACAGAGACGCGGGTTGACGTGGAGACAGGTCGAATTCTAGGTACTTGAGCCATCGCAATAATAAGTACGTACTTTCAGGTTTGTTCTGGACAGAAGGAAGGAGCAACTTCATCCAAGTTCACCTTGGCAGGAGCAACCTGCCCTGGGGGCAAGAGGGATGGGGCAAGAGCAGAGTGGGATGGCCTGGTCGTAGCATCCCTTTTGGCCAGGAACAGAAGGAACGGGGAGCTGCGAGCCAGAGCAGCTGGTGTGAAAGCATGAGTAGGATTCTTCAAGAGGAAAGCTCCCGTCAGAGAGCTGTTGCCGAGTAGGAGGCTTGTTCATGTGGTGTCGTTGCCATGCTGGTTGTACTTAGCATCTCTTTAGCGGCGGAATGGACCGGCTTTCCACCTCCCACCCCATTAATGTTTTCAGCTCAAGGATGTGTAGACCACCAGTGGCTTCGTCTAATGATGGTATACTTGAGATGACTACCCAAGAAATAGCTTTGTCGACATGGACGTTGCAAGTTATCCACGACCAAGAAGATCAAGCCTCGTGGCGTTACCAACATCGTCGAGACGCAGTGCAAAATATCCTCAGCCATCATGACCAGGACAAGTTTGGTTTTACTCTTACCGGGGCATCAGACTGCGGTCCCCTCCCCATAGTAAACTTCCCTCTTCCCCCAGGGTATTGATTTCACAGCCAAGATGTAGCAGAACTTTCAATGATTCAAGAATTGTGTGTACATTATTCTAAGGTGCCTTAGTTGTCTAAATTTCTCAGCTCCGAGGAGCCTAATACTAATATTTATATAGTTTCGGTGCCGTGGCACATGAATTCGTTCGCTAATCCAACCATCACTCCCGTAACGCCATTGCCATGCAGGCATCCCAGTCAAGGAATAAGAGACACACGACACTCGATATCATAGGTATCATGCAAACAAGCCGATGCCAACAGAAGTGAATACAGTGCACCGAACTCCATCTCCCCCCGCCATCAAAGGACGTTGCTTCGTTTCCCCGTCCAGTCCGCACCTCGTCAGCGTCTGACCAAATAGTCAAAGCAGTCGTGAAATGTGTACTCGTCGCCAAACATTTTTGAACATGAAAAGGGCGGATGCTTTATCGCAGAATGGTCTTGCAGTCCTGGACACCGCGGGCAATGACGTCCTCAAGCTTCCAGCGGGGAGGCTTGTAGACGCCCTCGAGACCGTTCGCCTTGCGCCACTCCTTCTCCGTCTCGGGCGTGACACCCTCGGGGAGGGGCTCGGCGCCACCAGCAACACCAGTGGAAAATCTGATCTGGAGCTGGTCGGCGATCTCGTCACAAGCCTGGAGCAATCTGTCGAGATCCTCCTTGTTGTGAGCCGAAGAGACACAGAAACGAGCGCGGGAGCTGATGAGAGGCGTAGCGGGGTAGCCGACAATAACGACAGAGATTTTGCGCTTAAGCATCGCGTGGCTGAATGCGGGCATCTTTCCAGGGTTGTAAAGCATGACGGGGATAATGGGGGAGTCGTCGTGGCCGTAGACGATGAAGCCAAGACGCTTAAGACCCAGGCGGAGGTAGCGAGAGTTGAAAGCAATACGCTCCAGACGCTCGGCACCTTGACCAGGGCAAAGCTCGCCAGTGATGAGACGGAGGGAAGCGAGAATCTGCATGAGAACCGAGGGGGCGGGCGACTCGCCGTAGATGGTAGCGGCGTTGGTGCTCCTCAGCTTGTCGATAATGGACTTCTCAGCAGCGACGTATCCACCGTTGGCACCGAAAGATTTGGTGAGAGTACCCATGAGAATGTCAACACGGTTAGGGTCAATGCCGAAGTAGTCGCAAACACCACGTCCGCGGGGACCGATGGCACCAATGGAGTGAGCCTCGTCGATGAAGAGGTAGAACTTGTACTTGTCCTTCAAAGACATGATACCGGGCAAGTCGCACATGGTTCCCTCCATGGAGTAGAGACCCTCGACGGCAACCAAAATCTTCTTCCACGGGCGGTGAGTGCGGGGCTGTCCTTGAGAGATGGCTTCGCGGAGCTTGCGCTCGAGATCGATCATGTCGTTGTGCTTGAAGGACGAGATGACGGCACCGGACAGACGAGCACCGACTCTAATGGAGGCGTGGTTGAGCTCATCAGAGAGAATCAGGCAGCCCTTGGAGACGAGAGCAGGGAAGGACGAGGCGTTGGTGACGAAACCCATCGAGAAGACCATAGAAGCGGGCTTCCCGACGAAGCTGGCGATTTCCTTCTCAACCTCAAGAGCCAGGTCAGATGTACCAACATCAGCGCGAGGGCTGCAGGTGCTGAGAGCGTACTTCTTGACGCACTCCTCGACGGCATCGGCGCAAGGACCTTCGGATTGGGCAAAGCCAAGGTAGTTGTAGGAGCTCATGTTGAGGGTCTCGGTGTGGGTTCCGGTGTA